CTATCTGAATTTAGTCATTATCTATCTATCTATCTATCTATCTATCTATCTATCTATCTATCTATCTCAGTCTGTTCATTTTTATCTACCTATGAACCGTTCCGCTCCCTGATTGGCCACAGAATGTTATCTTGCTAGGGGTATGTTCTTTTCAAATCTCTCTCTCTCTCTCTCTCTATCTATCTATCTATCTATCTATCTATCTATCTATCTATCTCTAATTCGTAAAGCACATCTGTGTCTGTGTAAGAACCATATCCGTTCAAGTCATTTTTGGGAATATATATTTCATTATTAACAAACTTATCAATTCCTTATAAAAATCAACATTGAAGGGTTTATTAGTTCCCATTCGTGTAAACTCCTTCAGCAACGAATGACTCGTATGGCCTGCCCCTCAAGAAAGCGGAAGTTGGAACATATCCACACGTACCGTCGACAAATCTGAATCATTACCATAGCCACACGTTGTGGTCATTCAGGGAATTAAATTATTACATCTCGGATTTATTATTTTCCTATCCTTTTCTGTAAAAATTAAGAATATCGGAATCATTTCTAGAATAATTTTCCTTGAAATCAGTAAGAGAAATATTTGAAGCACACATTATTGGTTTAGTATATTTTACAAAGAAGTGTTATTGAAAAATTATATATTTTAGAAGTATTTGAATATTTTTACTTTTAAATATTTGTGTGGCTAAATGAGAAGGATCACGTGATATGGTTGAACTCATAGCTTCCGTCAAATAATTTAATGGTTTTATATTCACTAACAGATTACGTTCTATTGATGTATGGGAATCATGTCAATTGGGGATTTAGTAAATTTACACCCTATATATATATATATATATATATATATATATATATATATATATATATATAATTGATTTGGATTATTTACACTTCTAAACTGTATCTACTGCAAGGAATGTTTGATCACTGTGTAAATGTGCCAAAAGATTTTTTCTCATATATATATATATATATATATATATATATATATATATATATATAATTTTTATTTTAGATATTAAAAAAAAAACATGTTGAAATATTGTCTCATTTATATATATGTCATATATTCTTTTTTCTATATATATATATATATATATATATATATATATATATATATATATATTAATTGATTTGGATTATTTACACTTAAATGAAATTAGTTCATGACGTCGTGCGTAAGTATAAAATATTTTCAACAAAAATTTTCGATTGATACGTACTTAATTTTAGGTTTCAAGTCTATCCCCTCTTTCTCTCTGTCTTTATCTATCTGAATTTTCTCATTATCTATCTATCTATCTATCTATCTATCTATCTATCTATCTATCTATCTATCTATCTATCTATGTTAGTCTCTTCATTATCTGGACATCTGTGTTGCATGGGCTGATATTTTTTAATGAACGCAGTATTTTAAGTGACACTGATATTCAAATAAAAGGTTTAGAAGGAAACCCCCATCAATACTGGTAAGAGTGGTAATAGCGGCTGAACTTGAGAAACCTATTTGCCCTAAACAATATTTTAATAGAAAGATTTTATAAATTTCACCCGAAAGCAGTACTTACGACTCGACCAATGAATGCCATATCAAAATAAAGGATTAAACAGGTGTTGTAGAGTAGTTTTCACAGTGGAGGCTTGTATTTCACTAAGTCGGTCCTAAAATAGGTTCGACGTACAAAACGTTAGGAACTTAAAAATAATAGTTAATGACACAGCAATCTAGTTGTGGTGGTTGATACTTCAATGTTCGACATCGACTGACTCACTCAACTCACTGAGCCCCCTGGCGACTGCTACTAATACTACTTATTATATCTGGGAGAGTCTATTAATAATAGAATAGGTATGTTTCGGTATAACAACAGGCTAATATACAATTAATATCATCAATCTTACGGCCAATATTGTTATAATTTTCTGTTTTTTATTTCAAAATTTCATTAGCCGGCCTAATAAATCTATCTATCTATCTATCTATCTATCTATCTATCTATCTATGTCTGTTCATATCTATCTATTTAAAATTTTTGTCACAATTTATTTACAAACGTACCACGCCAAATTGCCAAATGTTCGATGAAAGAGGACAGATGATTTCTCTGCTAGAAACGATTTTTCTTGCCTTGAAAATCAGTATTCGATATCATTGATCAGTATTCGATATCATTGATTTCAACTGGTTTCGAACACACTTTATTTGGTGTCGGACAAAATTATTTCAATTGAAGACATTTGACCAATTCTTCCAAGTACTTCTGTTCGGTACGAGACGATTATTGACGTGGAGGAACCTTGGAAGAGAAACTAAAAATCAAATTGACTACATAACTATCAACAAAAGATTCAGAAATGCAATGGTTCACTGGAAAAACCTACCCAAGTGCCGACTGCAGAAGCGATCATCATCCTGTTATATGTAAACTAAGAGTGAAACTGCGGAAACTGAAGAACCTGACGCAACACTCAAATTGCAATACAACAAACTTCTGAGCGAGATGTACCGGAAAGAAAACTATATGGGCAATGTGAAAAGAAGATATGAGGGACACAATGAAAACTCAAAATAGGACGCATTAAGAGAAGCTTTAGTGACATCAGCAAACGATATCATCCCAAAGGAGAATGGACGAAAAAGCAAAAAACGAATGGATGACTGATGAGATTTTTGACATGTTGCAAAGAAGACAGGAAACTCTGCCAAGATACGGAATGGAATACAGAAAATTACACAACGAAATAAGGACCAAATGCAGACAAGCTAAAGAAGAGTGGCTAAAGAAAAAATGTGCAGAAATAGGGAGATAGAGAATGATCAACAAAGGAGATATGCATAAATAAATAAGGCAACTAACAAGAAAGAAGACATGCTCGTCAAGAGGCTGCCTAAGATCAAAGGATGGAACACTCATATTAGAGAAGGAAAAATTCTTCAACGATAGAGCGAGTATATTGGAGAATTCTTCCAAGACGAAAGAGAACAACCAGAAATACACAACTATCGACGGACGTGGAATTCTTAAAACCGAAGTAAAAGCTGCACTGGCCAAATTGAACAGAAACAAAGCAGCAGGGCCAGACGGAATTGTAACTGAAATTCTGGCAGCCTTAGATGATTTGGGCATAGACAAGATCACAGAAATAATAAAAGAAATCTAGAACAGTGGGTACATACCGGAAGATCCAAGCTGATCTATTTTCATAGCACAGTGTAAGAAACCGGGCACAAACGAATGGGAATGACACCGAACACTCCGCCTAATGAGCCACGAAAACTCATCATCTGTATTCTGATGAATAGAGCTCGCAGCAGAATCAGACCACAGATAGAACAAGAACAATGCGGGTTCGTTAAAGAAGCCGGAATAAGGAACGCGATATTTATGCTTAGAATGTTATCAGAAAGAGCAATATAAATGCAGAACGATGTGTACCTATGTTTTATAGACCATGCAAAGACGTTCGACAAAGTACGCTACACGGATCTGTTGGAACTGCTCAGCAATCTTGATATATTTGGGAAAGATATCAGAATAATCAAGAATCTATACTGGCAGCAAACGGTATGAATGCGGATAGAGAACGAGTTCAGCGGATATACAAAAATAGAAAGGGGCGTAAGACAAGGGTGGGTCTTCTCACCGGACCTGTTCAACCTATACAGTGAGGCATTTCTGAGAATAGTGGAAATCCTACCGGGATTCAGCATTGGCGGCCACAATCCTAGCAATATAAGATACACAAATGGCACAGTACTGATAGCAGACACGGAAAAGAAATTACAAACCCTCCTACGTAAGGTAGCGAAGGAGAGCGAGAAGAAAGGACTAAGCATAAAGTACAAGAAGACATAATGCATGGTCATCAGTAAAAGGATGAGCCAGAAATGCGATTCGCAGGTCGGGGACACTAAATTTAAGTAGGTGCGGAAATTTAAATATCTGGGAAGTGTTTTGACGAGAGACGGTAAGTGCGATGCTGAGATCCGAAGACCTATTGGGATAGCCAAGGATGCATAACAAAAACTGTATAAACAAAGACAAGAGGATTTCTTTGGTGATATCTGTCCTCCTTACGGCAGCGAATGTTGGACGGTCTCCTCAAAGATGAAGAAGAGACTCGAGACAATGGAGGTATGGTTCTACAGAAGGATGCTAAGGATATCATGGACCGAGCGTGTGAGCAAAAGTGAGGTTTTGGAGAGGATAAAAACAAGAAGGAAGTTTATACTTAACATCAGGAAGAGGCAGCTGAATTTTCTGGGACAGGTAATGAGAAAAGAAATGCCTGGAGAATCAAATACGCACAGATCTAATAGAGAGAAAGAGAGACAAGGGAAAGCAAGGCATGACATACCTGGAGGGCTTAAACAAATGGATGACAGAACGTGGTCTCAGGGAGATGGCAGAGGGACAAAACTTATTGAGAGGTACAAGGGATATGGGGAAGTGGAAACCCATCATCGCCTACGTCCTGAAGGGACACGGCACATAAAAATTAAAGACCTCGAGTACAAATAGGTCACTCAATGTGTCATGCACGTGCTGACCTTATCTTTGCCTGCTCTCTCTCCCTCTCTCGCTCTCTCTCTCTTATTCCTTTTGTTCAGATGAATAATTCGTTCCCGCTCAATGTATCATTGTCTTCATGGTTACCGTGTGTTAAGTAATGTAGGTTATTTATATTTATCTGTTCCATCGAATAGGCTAACATTATGTGACATATCTCGCGAACAATTCGCTTATATATATAAGTAGCTAAGCAGGCCAGCGCAACGGGAATAAGTCATATCTACATCGTATGTAATATTTTGGACTACGATATCTTGCTTGTTTATTTAAACTTGTTGAACATGGGGAAGTTTCGTAGTGTTAAATTAACGACATTTGTCATAGCTGTTCTCAAAGTTACTTTGAAATTGATTATATTGAATCAAAAGGCGGTAGGTTGGAAGAGGAAAGACATAAAAATGAATGTTAGAGATAGATAGATAGATAGATAGATAGATAGATAGATAGAGAGAGAGAGAGAGAGAGAGAGAGAGAGATTGAAAAAGAGGAAATAATGAGAAGGAGTAAAATATTAAGTGAAAAACTGTAATGTGTGTGTGTGTGAGAGAGAGAGAGAGAGTGACAGAAAGTGAGAGAGAGTAAAAGATAAATAGAGGGAAGTGAAAGGGAATGTGAGAAAGAAATAGGGAAATAAAAAGATAGCAAGTGAGAAAAATGAAGAGAGAATGACAGAGATGTGATACTGAAAAAAAGAAATATAATTCTAAGAATATATTTTATAATGACAAAAAGGGTGTTAAAAAAAATGAGCAGTAGAGAGACTGAAGAGAGAAAGAAAGAGAGGGTGAGAAGGAAAGAGAGGATGTGAGCGAAAGAGATAGAGAAAGAGAAAGAGCGAAAAAAGAGAAAGAAAAAGAAGAGAGATAGAGAAGGAGGAAAAGTTATGGGTACTGGATAGAGAACGACTGTAAAGATAGATAGATAGATAGATAGATAGATAGATAGATAGATAGATAGATAGATGGAGAGAGAGAATAAAAAAGAGATATAGAGGAGGAGAAAGGCATGGTTACTGGATAGAGAGCGATTGTAAAGAGAAAGAGAGAGAGAGAGCGATAGATAGATACATAGATAGAATAAAAAGAGAAAGACAATGGGTAGAGAGCGAGTGTAAATATAGATAGATAGATAGATAGATAGATAGATAAGGAGAGAGAGACAGAATAAAAAGAGAAAGATAATGAGAGGTAGAAAAGGAGGAAGAAATAAGAAAGTCATGGTTATGGATAGAGAGCGACTGTAAAGATAAAGATAGATAGATAGATAGATAGAATAAAAAAGAAAATGAGAGGGAGAGAGATAGAGAAGGAGGAAAAGGTAAGAAAGTCATGGGTACTGGATTGAGAGCGACTGTAAAAATAGATAGATAGATAGATAGAGAGAGAGAGAGAGAGAGAGAGAGAGTGAGAGAGAGAGAGGCAGACAAAATAAAAAGAGAAAGAAAATGTGAGGGAGAGATATACTGAAGGAGGAAAAGGTAACAAAGTCATGTGTACTGGATAGAGAGTAACTGTAAAGAGATAGATAGATAGATAGATAGATAGATAGATAGATAGATAGATAGCTTATAGAGAAGAAAGATTTTCAAATGTGGAACCGTAATTAATATATTGTCAAAGCGATTCACTGGATTTCAGGCGAAGGGATACGTGGAGGGTGGAAGAGGCGAATTTAAAAAGCCCTTTGTACATCATTATCCGCTTGAATTAATTTTCAGTGGTTGATGGCCATAATTACTTTGATTATTATTGCAGCATATGCTTCCATAGACGTGCGTTCAGATTGATTTGCATATATTAACTAACATGTAATATCATACAAATTATAATCTTTCTTTGTACGTAACTAAAGTATTCACATATCTACTTGAAACTCACAACACAATTTTACCTACTAAAGCTCACCTAATACAGTGCCCGAGAGCCACTCAAGGTAGAGGGATACTGTTAAAATCGTATGATATGAATGAAAGCGATATTAGGAAACGAAGATTAAAAGGAGAAAGATTGACTAGAAGAGATTGTAGTGTTTAGGAAAGTATACATTCGGGAGGGACACTTCTTGAAAAAAAGCCTGTCTGAGTGAAACATTTTCCTTAAATTTAGAATGAGAGTGATTCGACTCCTTGGAAATAACATGGCGCGTCTTAGGAGTAAAGGTCGGAACAGCTCGAACTTAAGAACGGAGTTTATCTGAATATTTCCCGCATAAATAGAGAGAGAGAGAGAGAGAGAGAGAGAGAGAGAGAGAGAGAGAGAGAGATTATCGACAGACAAATGGCATAGTGTGACAAAAGATAATAGCTCCTCACAACGTTACTACGTTGGTGATCATGGATCTCCACAACATCCTATTCTTCGCAGATCTAAGTATGGTTTGCCACCTTAATACTTCTCTTTGTTCATGTTCTGCTATCCATTTAAACAAAGTAATAAGGACTCGGATATTTTCTCAGCTCCTCATACCTGCAATATGTCCTGTGTGGTTCAAGTTTTCTAAGCCTTCTTTCCTCATTATGAGTTCTAGAAATTTCAGATGTGTCTTTCTGGTCCAACCATAATCTATCTTACATATCTATAAATATTCGTTCATGCTTAGAATATTGTTGTCACATATGAACCGGTACTCCTGTGTATTATTTGGAGATACGTGATAAAATCCAAAGAAAAATATTCAATATTATTCGACCTAACAGGACATCACAGTTTCAGTCACTCTGCTACTGTCGTAATCTAGCTTCCATTAGATTTTATATCAACAATTTCATGGTAATTATACTGATCAGTTAGTCGCTATGGTACCTAGATTTTATGAATTTAAACGCACTAATAAATTGGCAGTATTATATTATGTAATTATGAGACGAATGATTCCAAATAGAAATTAATACACAAGGGAAAGAATGACATATATAAAGAAGACGAAAGAAATAAGGATGTAAGGGTTTTTAATTTTTTAGACGGATTAGAGGTAGTTCCTTTGTTGTCTCCCGCGTAAGTACATTATGGATTCATTAATGTTATTTTGCTTCGCTAATGGAAATAAATTATATCATTATGTGATAGATGAATAAAACAGAAGATAATTTTCCAGGAAAAGCGCGCAATATATAAAGAGGATGATAGGAAGAAAAATGATTTATTTTTGAATATTTTTCCCTGACTGCAGTAAGTTCTTAGTTGCTTCTCATTTAAGTACATTTTGCATTCATTAATGTTTTTCTTATTCGCCAATGGAAATAAATTATATCCTCATGAGACAGGTGAATGAAAAAACGTTAATCCTTCAGGTAAAGCGCGCAATATATAAAGAGGATTCAAGGAAATAAGATGTTTCGGTGTTTGAATATTTAGCCGGATTACAGGTAGTTATTCAGGTGTATCTCGTGTAAGTACATTATTGCATTCATTAACATTATTTTGCTTTGCAATGGAATTAATTCATATCCTTATGAGAGAGATGAATCAAAACGGAAATTCATCTTCAGGAAAAGAGAGCAATATATAAAGAGGATGAAATAAATGTTTCGGTTTTTGAATATTTAGCCGGATTAAAGGAGGTTCCCTAATAGTCTCTGTGTAAGTACATCCTGCATTTATGGACATTATTTGCTTCGCTAATGGAAATAAATTATATCCTTAATATATCCTAGATTAATAAAACAGAAGTTAATCCTTCAGGAAAAGCGCGCAATATATAGAGGATGAAAGGAAGTAAGATGTTTCGGTTTTTGAATATTTAGCCGGATTACAGGCAGTTGTTTAGTTACCCCTCGTGTAAGTACATTATTGCATTCATTAATGTTATTCTGTTTCTCAATGGAATTAATTGATATCCTTAGGAGAAAGATTAATAAAAATAGAAGTTAATCCTTCAGGAAATGAGTCTAATAGACAAAGATGATGAAAGGAAGAAAGATATTTGGGTTTTTGAATATTTAGCCGGATTAGAGGTAGTTCTTTATTTGCCGCTCATGCAAGTACATTATGCATTCACTAATTTTACCCCGCGTCTCTAATTGAATTATATCCTTATCAGATAGATGATTCAAAATCTAATTTAATCCAACAGTAAATTTGTGGAATATATAAAGTCAACGAAGGTCTCATCAATTTATTGTTGGATGGGCTTGCATGTAACCATAACTTCCATGCTGATAATTTTTTTCTCAATTTTGCGCCTGTGGAACTCTCTTCAGGCTCCATGCTCTCCATCCAACTTTTTTCTTCGAAACTTTTAAATGCAATGTCAATCATTATTTAATATCTTCCCTATTACTCTTCTCTTTTCTTCTAATTCTTTCATACATTGTGATGTCTCATGTCTTAGTGGCTTTAGTGCCTTGCCTCGGATAAATAAAATTATTTTTTTTTCTTTCCCAATTTCGTTAAAATTTTCTTTTTTTCTCACATGTTCCATTCATGGTATTCTCAGCATCATTCTGCAGAAATATATATTTTTTTTCAAGCCTCTTTATCTTTGAGGAAATCGTTCAAGTTCCCCCTTTTTTATATTGGAGGGGATTGGTATAACATAATAGTTCAATGCTTTATTCTTTGTTTTTAACAAAATTTTCCTGTTTCTTCGCAAGAAAGGAGAGAGTATGAGTGAGAAAAAGAGAGGTTCGAGAACAAAAAGCTTTAGAAAAAAAGGGAAAGGTTAAAGATGAAAGGAATATATATATATATATATATATATATGAAAGATGAAAGGAATATATATATATATATATATATATATATAAAGGATGAAAGGAAATATATATATATATATATAAGGGATGAAATATATATATATATATATATATATATATATATATATATATATATATAACTGTGAACCTAAAGAGCCAGGTAAACCTACCTAGGTTTCACCTACGCGGATCGTCAGGGTGCACTGGCCAGGTTAGTTGTTTAGGTTCATAGTTAGATTTGCTCTACTTAGTGCATTGAGCACTTTACTTAGTTACTTTTGCTTTACTCGTTTTGGTGTTTTTTTCTTTGGACTCTGAGCTTGGATTCTGGACGATTGTTTCGTCCAATGAAAGAACGATCGAGCGATGGACTTTATAGTGGACATTACGAAGCTAAATATTTCTTTGTGTGACGAATGTATTTAATTGTATTAAGTGAGAATTTTGAATCAAATAACAAAGTTCATTTTATTTCGAGCATTTCTGTAGACTGCATTTTTCTTCCCCACCCCACTATCTCACCCCTCTTTTTACTATCAGAAGTTTCACTTTGGGATACACATCCTGGGTACACGATATAACTTCTACTGTCTTTAGCATGTTCATGCATCTAACAACCTATATATCTTTCTTTTATAGCCGTGTCAGTAATAATATAAATTCAGTCTGAAAATTAAATAAAAGGAGGTTTGTTTCTGTAAGGATACAAAAGTCCATTATCTTCCTTTGGCCGAGAAAATTCACATGAGTCTCATGACGGCCGCTTAATGACGCCACTTCATACAGAGACGAAAGTAGCGGTCAATTTTAGTCGGTTTACAACAGTGAAAACGAGCGATTACTTTTTTCTTTAACCTAGGCCAATTCGCCCGAGATGAGGTTAAATCTGTCTCCCCCAGCAAATGCTACAGGTTATAAGCACAAGTCGCCATTTTTCTTTGGGAAAATATATTCCCAGAAAAAAAATCTCTGGTTTGCAGTCCTCAATTTGGGAAAACCCAAGACTCACCGTTTCAAGTCCGCATAATATATCATCACTTGGATGAAATAGATGAATCCGGCCCATTTGAATTTGACATTCTAAACATGGCTTCTCCAGAAACACAGAAGCATCTCTATATTATATGTAAGACCCTATCTATTCGTTCTCCGTTCACTCTGTTTGCTGTGTAGATATATGTGAAATATTTTTCTCTGCACCGGACGCATGTAAATATGTATATATGGTTTTGTGTATGTTTTAGTGGTATAAAATCTCTCTGAGAACCAAACATGTTTCTCGTTCCTTTTACTTGCAGGTATTCTGTTCTGTCTGTGGAATACGGTGTTATTTTTTTTTTTAAGCATTACGCCCCAAGCAAGGCGTGAAGCCACTAGGATGCAGGGGGTGGCGGAAGATTTGGAGCGAGAGCAGATAGGAGAAAGGACGGGGAGAGGGATAGTGGGTAGATCAAGGTAACTGGAGATGTCGATTGACATTACATTTGAATAGTTGGAGATTATAGCTTTCAGGGAAACAGTAATTGGGGAGGGTGTTCCACTGGCGAGAGGTGCGAGGTATGAAGCTACTGGAGTAGAAGAGACGGCTACATTTGAAAGTTTCTACGGTGTAAGGGTGGAAGCGGGATGCCAGCCTCGTAGGGCGCTTGAATTCATGGAGTCTGGGAACCAGAGAAAGCAGCTCGTCAGAGCAGTTACCATGGAAATATTTGTAGGAAAGACAGAGAGAGGCGACGGCGCGTTTGTGAGAGAGTGACTGTAGACAAGACGCTAGATCAGGGCCAATTAGATTACATATCCGTCTCTGGATCTTGTCAAGAACTCCGAGGTAAGCAGAAGGTGCCCCAGATTCTTTCTAAGCCTTACCAGCCAGGTCGAGGGCAAAACGCGTGGGGAAGTCAACTATCTGTGTGAGGGATTGAGAAATTGAGAAGTTAAATGTTTGAATGCCAGCCCGGTCAGTAGTAGCATTCTCGAGCCACTTGGTGTGATGGGCAT